ATTTTCTAAAATTTGAGAGGGCATTCTTATAGAACTCGACGAGCTGAGTCTAATGGTATAGTTTTTCATGTCGAAAAGCGATCAGAAATCAAATTATAGCAAAAAGACGAAAAAGACGCGGATCCGCGTCTTTTTTAACAAAGTTATGGGAGGTACTGTACGTATGCCTTAGCAACGTAATAAACGTAACATAACATAACATAACATAACATAACATAATATGTGATCGCTGAGAAGAAAACCTGCGACGCAACTTCGGTGAATGACCTCAAAGATTTTCCTGGTTCCAGTACACCGCATTTCCATGGATATTAAAGGACGAATTCACGATCAGAGGGAAAATCGAATTAGGAAGAATTCACCTGGTTGAGGGACCCGCGGAGCTCCTAAGTGTGCGAACTGAAGCACAATTTGCACAGGAGGAGTTGACCTCGTTGACCTATTAAGGTTTAATCCCGCCGCGGCTGGTCAGTGCACGCCCACCGATCATCTGATCACTCGCCGCAGGTCTATACGTGGCGAGTGATTAGATAGGTGAGAGAGCGTAGTGTTGAAGAGGGCACAGCGATGAGAGTCGCATCAATGCTCAAATCAACGGGCAAGGAAGGGGTCCCATTTCTCGGGTTCTGGGCCGTTTCTCATGGTTTTCCTTCTTTCGTGTACCACTCACCATCTAAGTTAATTTGAAATGGGTTGCCTTTCCAGCGTGAATTCGTCCTTTAAATGATAGAAAAAATAGAGGTTTTGGTAGAGAGAAAATGCACCTGATATTACTTACTATTTTTCTACAAGCAAACTGATATAATGACTACTTACTCTCCGATAAGCTCACTACTTTCATAGCATTGTTCGAATCTCACATTTGAACGTATGCTCTCGATCTTCTTAATGTCATATAAGGGCGGGTCGTCGGCTTCTGAAAAATGTACAGTTTCCCAAATTTTTCTCTGCAAAGACAGAAGTCTAAAAGAATTCTGAATCCTGAACACCGTAACAGGCTGCTTACTGTTTCGGCGCCATCCATACTGTTTAGCAAAGAATTCAAGGTCAAGATTTTCAGCTGAAGTAAATCGAAGAAAGCAATTCTACTTCACATAGTGTGAAGTTTTTCAGAGAAAATCAACTGCGGGAGTGAAAGTGTCAAAGGGTTAACCAGTACTGTTTAGAGCCCATTCAGAAGTTGGTTCCTAGACAGACAGGCGAATGGTACCAATGGTACCAGAAGGATGAAGGCGTGGTTTGCCTAGACAAGATGGTTCAGAGTTCAACATCGGATCATGAATGTAGCATGCAGTGCTGCTGCTGCCACCTCCTCTGTCCGACCCACTACCTTAGATAACCCCAACGCTTCAGACAACTTATGAACTTTCATTGGAGAAGCGCTTTAACACTAATATATTAACAACCGCCGAAACCACCTGGCCGAAGACTTGAAAGGTATACCCGTTTTTGGGCACACGGTTGCTGAGTTTTGAGGTGAAACACTACCGTTCTCCAACTTCGGCTAACTAGCTTTATAGAGCGCAAGCTCGCTCACGTTCTGACTAGAAACATGTGGTTCTCTTGACGATTGTGAATCATCTGATTCAATGTGACAGTTCGAAAATTTTTTTGCTCTCCTTAACACCTGTACAGGGTTTCGAGGATAACTATTGTTAGCGTCTACTACTTTGCTACAAAAACTCTAATGTTGGGAGATATTTATGGCGGTCATCTTCTTATTGCTCGGCTGCTTGCTTTAAAAACCAAATATACAGGTTCGTTTTCAGAAAAAAATCACAAATCGCTTAAAATCGCCACGTAATTCAATAATGACTAAGTAAAAAACAAGTGTCATATTCTCAATCAAATTTAAAATTCCATCCAGTGCTCATCAAAGTCTTATTCTTGACAATGAAGTCAGATTACTGTACATAAAGCGCTGCGAGCTAGCTTTTTGTAAGTTGAATGAACTAGGCGAGTTTCAGAGTGTTGATTGAGAATAAGAGATTTATAATTCGTGGGGTCGTACTGTAAGAAATGTGGGAGTACTGGTAGAAATAAGTTACAGACAGAAAATAGGCAAGCCAGGAAGGTAAAAGTACGTCTACGCGAATCTGAAGCAGGGTCAACCGTGACGTTCGCATATTTTCCAAAAATTTCGCGAACCCCCACACCACCATGGGACTCAGGAGGCTCCCCTATACGACTATCATACCCCGACCACCACCCTCGCCATCATGGCTGTTACTATAATATTTGATACGTTTGATTCTGAGACCAGTCGACACAGCCCAACTCCGCCCACTTTTCCCTCCAAAACGACCAATGGGGGGGGGGGTATTAGTCAAATGAAACCATTCTCTTCTACTATTCTCTACTCCCACCTATCCTACCTCCCAATTACATCCACAAAATCCCTCAAAAAACCATTCACCCAACAAACTACTAATCCCACTCAACCCCTGAATGCGACCCCCCTCACCAAAACCAACCACAAATGCGACCCCCTCGTTCGAATAGTGCGAACGCACGGTTGACCCTGATGTAAGGCCTGCATTCACCCAAAACAGCCAAACCAAAGAGTTCGTAGTTAACCGCCTTTGTATCTGAGTAAAGAGATATGAATGGAAATAACTGGCTCACCTGTAGGGTAATGTTCATCGACTTTGATTTTACCCCCAGTGCTCATATGAACCTGTAATGAAAATCTGCGTCGACCGACCA